CTGTAGCAGTGAAGAGCGGAGCCAGGACTCAGATCTGGGATTCGGCTCCTGCCCTGCCTCTCCCAGTGAGCCTCTCACCACTCCTGCAATGGCAATCAGCCCATTCCTGGGACATATTAGGTTGAACCACATGAAATGAAATGAACTTTTGTGACCTACAAAAAATGGTCCATTCATGTGACTTAAAAAAAAAAAAAAAAAAAAAAAAAAAAAAAAAAAAGACCTGAGATTTGAAGCAGGTGCCTGAATATTTGTCACCAGATTCAGATGGGGGTTTTCTCAGGTTCTGCTGTCAGGTTTGAACATGCTCCCCAAGGACACTCCGGCTGTGGGGGAGCCAAGTGCACCTGGACGGCGTGGCATTTTCTGAGCAGAAGACAGCAGTCCGGCCCTAGCTGGTTTTGCTCAGTGGATAAAGCAAACCCCATGGACTGAAAAGTCCCAGGTTCAATTCTTGTCAAGGGTGCATGATCCCCAGTGGGGGATTTGCAGGAGGCAACCGATCCATGATTCTGTCATTGTGGATGTTTCTCTCTCCTTCCTTCCGTCCTCTCTGGAATCAATACAAATATATTAAAAAGAAAAAAGACAAAAAAAACAAACTGCAGTCTGTCTTGAGATGGGAGCCCCATGTGTGGGAGGTGAGAGCTCTTGTGCTCCCTCGAATAGTATCAATAAGTCCTACAAGGCAGAAAGGGAAAGTCCCTCCCTAAGAGCCACGCTACCCCGTCTCCCCGAATCATCCAGCCACACAAAACCCACAGGGGCAGGCACCGAGTGAGTGACACACACTGGCTGCCAGGTCTCTGACAGGGACCTCTCCTGATGGCTACGGGACTTCATTGGCTGTTCTTCAGGCTGTCTGGCCACTCCTGGAACAGGGGCAAGGGACAGCCACCTAGTTGGCCTCAGGAGGGGGAGAGAGATCTGGGCTTTAGATAGGGACCATGTTCTGTCCATTTCCCCAAGTCCAGCAGTTTTAGATGGCTGGCTTCGCTCTCACTTGATCTCCTGCACAGCTGTGGGAGCCTCCCTGGCCAGTGAGAGGAACCCTTGGGTTAATTATTGCATGGCTCACAGCTGTTCAGAACCTTCTTGGGTGGAAGCCAGAAGTCATGGAACCAGAAGGAGCCACAGAGGAGCAGGGGGTGAGGGGACAGTCTTGTCAAGGGTAGGTCCCCTGCCAGCCCACCCTGGCTTCCATCCAGCGGGCTGAAGAACCCGGGGAACACAGGTGGGGAGGAGCCTTCCTCTCATCCAAGAGGAAGCAACATCCACCCCAGAGGCACTCATCTCCTTCTCACCAGGTGTGCAATGATGGGTGGGTGACAAGGCTCTGACACTAACTTGTCCCTATTTCCTGACTGCAGGACCCTGGTTTGTTCAAAAGGTGCCAAACTCTGGGGACTTGCTCTCTTCTCTCCCCTCTCCAGGTGGCCAGGGGCCGTGTTGCTCTGCAGACCCAGGCTATCCTTCAGATGGGTTGTTCCAAGGTCAAACCATGAATGGAGATGACATTACACATTTTTTGGACCTTAAAATCCAAATTCATGCTCTCCAATGAGCTTTATCAGTAATGAAGCTGATAAAGGGGGGGGGGGGGAAATCCAGAGGGTAAAGCCTTTGGGGGCAGCCTTGAGCTCTCTCCTCAAACAGGCCCCAGAAAGCTGTAAACAGGCAAGATGCGCAATTGGACCAGATTATGTTTAAGGACACACATTCATCAAACACACCATGGAGAGAGGGAGAAGGCAAGCCACAGACTGGGATAAATAATACACATCAATAGAAGATTCACCTCAAACTATGTAAAGAACCAGAAATAAACAAGACAGCCCACTCACTCAATTAGGGGAGGAAATGGGCAAAGACTTGAAGAGCGCTTTACAGACGTACAAATGGCCACTAGAACAAGGTGACCGGCTTCCCACTCCAAAAGACTGAAAAAGAGAAACTGAGTCTACCCCTGACCCAACTGCCTCACCCATCCTCCCGTGGCCCAAGCGCCCTCATCTCTTGCAGGGACCATGGCAATAGTGTCCATGGTGTCCCTTTCTCCCCTTGCCTGTTTTTAGCCTCCACTCTGCAGAGATGCTACTTTAAAAGTAGAAATCAGTCATCACTCTCCTGCTCAAACCTCCCCACAACTCAGGGTAGAACTCCAGGTCTCTCCCAAGCCGCCAGCGTTAAGATGTCCTTTTGGTGAACTGAGCCTTGAATGGACTATGGAAGCTGTTGCTGCCCAGTATCCCGGGACTCTTTTCTCTGTTCCCCAGGCCTAGTGGCCCTGTGACTTGCTTTGACCAATCAAGTGTGGAAGGAAATGTCTTTCTGATTAGAGACTTGAAGAGCCAGAGAGACTCCATCCCAGAGAGGCTGCCCCACCAGGCGCCCTGTGCCGGCCTATCCTGATCTATGCCATCCCGAGCCCTTTCTAGCCGTGGAATTTGCCTCTATTGTCCCCTTGATCACCCAGAACGGCCCTCTTCCTCCTTCCTCCTGTTTTTCCAAGTGGTCAGTTATGCCAGCACCGACAGAGTATTAACTATTCTACACTTCTCTAACCACACTGCTATACCTCAAGCTGCAAATTTCAAGTTAGCTGTGTCCAACATCATACTGAATGTTACAAACAAGCTGAGCAAAATAAAGATGAATATAAAGAACCCATCTACATAGAAGTTCAAGCACAGGCAAGACTGTTCAGTGAAGTCTATGAAGCTCTTAGTAAAATAAAAACGAAACCAAATGACAAACGCTGACTGGATTCCAGCAGGAAAGGGCTTTCTGCCGGAGGGCTGGCCTGGGCTCTGGCAGTACTAGGATGTTTGCCTTTAAACACTTCCTTAAACCGGACTCAACGTCAAGCACAGCTGACCCTTGAACAGGGTTGAACTGTGTGGGCCTTTGTTTTCCAATGAATAGTGTTTACTTTCATGACCTAACACCTCTGTAGGCTACTTTTCACATGCACCTCAGCTATTCTAAAACTGAACTCATCTTCTGCAATTTCCACCTAGAAGCCCCAACCCCTCCCCGCTTTGGCAACCATCAGTTTGTTCTCTGTATCTATGGGTCTGTTTATTCATGTTTTGTTTTTGATTCCACATTAATATGTATCACAATCTCTATCCATTCATCTATGGACATGTAGGTTGCTTTCATTTCTTGGCTATTGTAAATAATGCAGCAAGGAACTTGGGGTGCATACATCTTTTCAAATTAGTGTTTTCGTTTTCTTTGGACAAAGTCATACATGAGTTATTGCTGCATTGTATGGTCTTTATATCTTTAATATTTTTGAGAAATCTAGTGTTTTACAATTCCACGAGGGTTCTATTTTCTCCACATTGCCATCACATCATTTTTTGGTGCCAGCCATTCTGACCAGTGTGAAGGGGACACTTCTAATTAGTCAATACATCTTTGTGATTGCTGAAACTTCACTGCCTTTTATGCCACTGGCACTGGGACAGCCAGGTCAATTGACATGCTATTTCCAAAGCTGGTTCCTATTTCTCCAAAGGCCATGTGGATTAACTAAGAAAGAGTCCAACCTCCTGAGGCCCCTTTCCTTCCTGCTACAAAGCCCTCTGCCTGTGTGTGGATTGGCAAGGGAGCTCCAACTCCACAGCCCAGTTCATCTGGCCACTTCCAGAGACTTCAGATTCTGAGTCACCCCGGATGGACCCGTCTTCTTCCCTTGTCTTTCCAGACCTAAGAATTCACAGCAGGCCTGGTCTTCTGGATCTCTCTCCTACTCAAGCGTCCACTTCTCGAGGGAAGAGGCCTTATTTTTGTCCTGAAATGCCAGCTGGACTATGCTAAGTGCCGACGAGGCATTCACCCATCTTGCTCCCTGTGGGCACGCAGAAAAGCAGGTCTGCATTGTAGGCTTTTGAGTCCACGTGAATCCAGTCGTTTAGCAATGCAGCCGTCAGCTGTGACAGGAAGGTGACCCATCACCAGCTCCCGAGCTGCACAAGCACGCCATGTCTTATGCACACCCACGTTTTGGGAGTGCACGAGGGCTCTCCATGTACCATAGAAAACTCAATGGAGACATAACGCTGACGGCACTGCATCCCAACATGAGCTCCGCATCAACGCCCGTGTTCTAGAGAATGGCAGCTAAGAACTTACTTCCAAGTAAAGGGGCCTCACAGACTTTCCTCACCTCTGCTCGGCCTCTACTTGGGTTACTTGTATGTATATAACTAGAAACAGATCTGGCCTCTTCCCATGTGAATTTTACCTCAACTGGTGAATGTTTTGTTTCAGAACCTAAACTTAAAGGATTTCAACTCTGGCTGGTGTGGCTCAGTTGGTTGAGCGTCGTTCTATGCATCAGAAGGTCGCTGGTTTGATGCTGGGTCAGAGCATATGCCCAGATTGTGGGTTCAATACCCGGTCAGGTGGGTATAGGAGGCAACTGATTAATGTTTCTCTCTCTTGTTTCCTCTCCCTTCCTCTCTCTAAAATCAATAAACAGCCCAGCTGGTGTAGCTCAATGGTTGAGGGTTGACCCACGAGTCAGGAGGTCACAGCCAGATTCTTGGTCAGGGCACATGCCTGGGTTGCAGGCTTGATACCCAGTAGGAGGTGTGCAGGAGACGGGTGATCAATGATTCTCTCCCTTTGATATCTTTAGTCCCCTCTCCCTTCCTCTCTGAAATCGATAAAAACATATTAAAAAATTAAAATCAATAAAAACATATTTTAAAAAAAGAAAAAGTATGTTTTCATTTCTACCCAAAGTGATTGATGTAGATTAATCTTCACTTCAAGGGCTGATGATGTGCAGGTCTGTAAAGGAAGAGAGATTTAAAGAGGAGTTTCCACGAGAAAAAAGTTACAAGAATACTGTATCACTACAAATTTTATTCAGAAACCCATCTTTGTTTTTTTAAATTGTTTTTTAAAAAAAATTCCCATTATGAACTGGTTTGGTCAATCAACTACAACACTTTCTAGCAGACATACGGTAAAAATGGCCTGGCTCAGAATCGCCCAGATCTCTCACGATCTCTTGACCGCCTCCTGTCACGCTCCCGGCCCCCACCGCCTCCACCACCGCCGCCGCCACCGCCACGACCACGGTCTCTCGACCGAGAGCGCCGCTCCCGGGACCGGGACCTCGATCGATGCCTGAGACAAAGGAAAAGAAACAGAACCTTGGCATCAAAATGAAAACATGCAACAGAGAACCACAGCGACCAACACCTTCAATTACCGTACCCCACCGAATCGACATTAATACTAATTTAAAAAATGCTGCCAATTTAACTGTAAGCCGCAACTAACATATGAGCCCCAATTTCAGAAATGTGTGGGGGAAAAGGGCATCAGAATTGAGAGGTGCAGTGGCCATCATGCTGGTTTCTGGATGAGGGCAAGATTCTTTCTCTTCTACGTTTGTGTTGGTAAAAGGACAGAATCACAATGCCAGCATTTCCTATTGTATGGTGGGTGAAAATCCTCTGGGGTCAGAACTCAGTCTTCACAGGGAAAGACTCATTATACCCTCTGATATTGGAGGTTCTCTCCGTTTTATGACATGCCCGCTTGCATTTAAATACAGGACCAGACAAATACGACTGCTAGATTCTGCCAGTGGTACACAGGGCAATGCCAAGAAACCTACCAAATCCACAAAAACCACGGCATCCCAATGGAGATATGCAGTATGTGAATGAGACAGAATAAAACACTGCACACAGGACTAATTTTCATTGATCCCACTAGTCATCTCCTTGGTTAGTTGCTGAGGTTCGATCTCTACTTAAGCAGTAAAATATGCGCAGAGAATATTCTTTGAAGAGTACATTTTTATATAGGATACATTTTTGTAATTTAAAGTATGTACTACATGCCCAGCTGGTGTGGCTCAGTGGTTGAGCATTGATCTATGAACCAGGAGGTCACGGTTCCATTCCCGGTCAGGCATGTGCCTGGGTTGTAGGCTCAATTCCCAGTGTGGGGAGTGCAGGAGGCAACCAATCAATGATTCTCTCCCATCATTGATGTTTCTCTCTCTCTCCCTTCCTCTGAAATCAACAAAAATATATATTTTTTTTAAATTGTATTACATTCTAAGCAGTGCCATTTATTTATCCATCCATCCTCACCTAAGGATTTTTTTTTCATTGGTTTTTAGAGAGTAGAAGGGTGATGGAGAGACAGAGTGAAGCATCAATGTGAGAGAGAAACATCAACTGGTTGCTTCTTGCATGCCCCTGACTAGGCCTGGGAACCTGCAACTAAGGTACTTGCCCTTGATTGGAATTGAACCTAGGACCCTTTGGACCGTAAGTCAACACTCTATCCACTGAGCCAAATCGGCTAGGGCCTAAGCAGTGCCTTTTAAACAGAAATGACATTTAGGCCAAGCTTTACTTAAAAACAAACAAATAATATACATACATACATACATATATGGATATATATATATACACAAACATATGTATATGGATATATATCCATATCCCCTACCCCCCCAAGAAAGCGATATAACGGTCACACTGAACCACTCACTTCTTGCGCCGGCGCCCATACAGCTCCCGCCGCAGCTCCCTGGAAATGGGCTTCAGATGCATGAAGTTGCAGAAGCCGCCTCGTGTACACTCTCTGAGGGGGAGGGAGAACCAGATGAACGTCACACTGCATATCCACACCCTCCCTCTACCTCCCCAGCCGGCAGCCTGTCATACCTACCCCATTTCATATTGGCGGCAACAGGCTTCTCGGAAGTCGGTCACGGGGGAAAGCTCGGCGTGGATGGGCTGCCCGTTGAACCAGCGGTTGTTCAAATCAATCACAGCTTTCTCCGCATCTTCTTCACGGCGAAACTGAAAAGACACAGAAAAAGCTTGCCACCACATTTTATAACACATTTTCAATCACTGATCCAAATACATGCTGTGCGCTCATGCAGATAAATTAAGGTGGATAATGTAGTGCAATTAAAAGCAGACAACCCTCTATTTACAATTAAATTATTTAACCTTGTGATGGTTCAAAATCATGCCAAATATGTTATCTTGGTTTTCCAATTCAATTGTTTAAAAGAGCAAATGTAATGATTTGTGTAGGCCAGTGTTTCCCAAACTTTTAACATATGTGTACCCCCTTCTATAATTTTTGTAACGCTGAGTACCCCTTGTACTCATGAGCACAGTGCAGTGCATATCCCCACTAAACTCCAGTGCAACGCGTACCCCCACCAAACTCTTTCCGTACCCCTGGAGGTACGCATACCACACTTTGGGAAACACTGGTGTAGGCAATAAACTTCATTAAAAAAAAAAAAAAAAGCGCATGGCCTGCGTGGCTCAGTGTTTGAGCACTGACCCATGAACCAAGAGGTCACCCGCACATGCCCAGATTGCGGGCTCAATCCCTAGTAGGGGGCATGGCCTGCAGGGGGCAGCCAATTGATGTTTTTCTCAGTCCCTCTCTAAAATCAATAATAATAATAAAAGAAACCATATAAACTGACTTCTCCCCAGTTCAAACAGCCTTTAACCAATAGCTATGAAGGTGCCCAACCTGAAAAAATGCAGGACCTTGGTAGTCTGCCTCCTCCCTATACCCACAGGCTAGCTCCAGCATGTGCATGCAAGTTCAATAGCAAGGAGCAGCCCTGATCAGTTTGGCTCAGTGGATAGAGTGTTGGCCTGCGGATTCAAGAATCCCAGGTTCGATTCCTGTCAAGGGCATGTACCTTGGTTGCGGGCACATTCCCAGTAGGGGGCATGCAGGAGGCAGCTGATGGATGTTTCTCTCTCATCGATGTTTCTAACTCTCTCTCCCTCTCCCTTCCTCTCTGTAAAAAATCAATAAAATATACTTAAAAAAAAAAAAAAAAAAAAAAAAAAAAAAAAAAAAAAAAAAAACAAGGAGCATTTGGCCAAGGTTAAAAGCTAATACAATAAGGTGATAAGCTGTCAGTAGACAAAACGCCCACTTGTCACCTTCCACATACCTTCACATACACGTTTCCGACGAGGTGATCTCCAAGATTATCACAGACATTCATCTCCTCCACCTCGCCGTACTTCTCCTCCATTTCTGTGAAAACCTCCTGGAAGAGAAACGGTGGCTTAAGGATCATAATGTTAAAGATACAAGACTAACTCAACACAATGAATCTTTTCGTATTTCTATTAATAGAGAGATTTTAATTCCCCCCAAACAGATAAAGGTGAATATGTCTATCAGTTTCAAACAATCTCACCTCAAAAAACTCATCATAGTGTTCCTGCATCTCGACATCGCTCACAGCACCTGTAAACAACAGACACATCTTGCTGGTTAGCGCAGGGGCTGCGACAGAGAGAACGCTTGTGCTTAAATCAACCTGCTACAGGGACACACATTAGATTGTCTAGAGAGAGAACCCGACAGAAGTGTTCTACTGGAGCTGAGAGGCTGCAGCACACAGCCAAGTGTTAAATCTTAGTGTGGGGAGACTTTTAAATGCCCCATGACAGTCTCCGTTCTGGCTATTAAAACCACACAAGTTTTAATCGGCATCAAAGGGTCACATTTTCAAAAATATAAGGAAAAAATTTATGCTCAAAAAAATTTTTTAATGAAAAATTTCTTCTTTTTAAAATTTAAAAAAGAGGCCAATTAATGCCTCCTCCCCCCAATTAAGTTACAATGAAAGCTGAATCAGGGTGATTAAAAGCTTATGCTCCTGACTCGTTTCTTTCACAGGTTATCAGCCACAGAATGCTATGAAATGATTTCTGATGCGATTAAAACCCAAATGACCATAAATACTTAGGACAGTTATCAAGTTCAATTACAGTATTTTGAATGCCCCTGAGTAAATGGAAAATTACAATACTTTGTTGAAGAAAGCATTCTTATTTTCTATTTTCCTCATTTACTTTTTCATAACCTACATGCACTAAGTAAAATCATGCACATTCTGTGGGTGGAATTTACACATTTCCATTCTATCTCTATTATCACCTCTTTTATCACATTTTAAAGTTCTCCTAACCTAAATCTGAGAAGTCACAAAGCTGGTGTGTCAATAAACTGACATTCCCAACAGCTGGACCAGGGAGCCCAGGAAGGCCGAGCTGAGAGGCTGGGCCAACTGTCTCCAGCGCTACTTCAGGGGCCAGGCTCCTGGGCAAGGGGCCTCCCCTGTGAAGCCCACGGAGGGACTGGAGCTGTGCAGGGCTCTGTATCCAGACTGCTGTCTTTTAGCCGTTTCCTACACGACTTGGAAATCCGTATCTCTAATGATAAGAACTTTAATCTTTTGATTCTGAAAGTGACTTTATTTTATTTTCTAACACTTAGCCTCCCTGCATTTTAGTTTTTTTAAGATTATGGAATCTAGCTCACTATAGAACCCAAACTTACTGAGACAGGCACAAATACTACTCTTAATGGCCCATCCCAAGTGGAAGGCAATCAGACTATACCTCCCCGTGAGGAGAGACCAAGTCCCAAATAGAGGAGCTGGGCAGACAAGCCCGTTCCAAAGGGCAGGGCGTGTTTAAACTCGCTTCCAGTCCCACATCAAGACAATGAGCACAGAAGAAAAAGGCTCTACGCCTCAGTCTGAGGAGCACTGACAATCGAGTCTGGTGGCAGCTCTACCTGCTGTATCATGACAGTCCTACTCTGTTCTTTACAACGTGGAGTATTATATTTCCACAACTCTGGAAAACTATATATTTGAAAATGCATATTTTATCTTTTATACTCTGCTTAAAATTTTTGAGTCAATCAAAATGACTTGAAAGGCAGAGATGAGTGATGAAAAACTAATCAACTAAAACATAATTTACATGACTCAATGTATTTTAAGTAATACAACCTGGAAAATACCGAATTTTCGTTCAGAAACATTCTTAAACTGGGATTCATTATTAAGTGTAACCAAAGCACAGAAAACTTAGTTTTCTACGGATGAAAGGATATGGTCAAAAGAACCATTAGTTTTAGGAAACTGATGAACCCAGCTGGTTGAAATTTACTGAAAAGGTCTGATGCCAAATATTTCAGGCTTATAAACTTAAACTGATAATCAGAATCTCATCTATACAATCTGGATACCAGAGCTAGAATATTTGATATAGCTAAATTTTTATTTTGTAGCATATGCTGAACAAGAGCCCTGTGAATCACATGTAAAGACACCAAGAAAACTAACACAACATTCTTTTCCCATAAAGAACCCGCAGTCCCCAAGTAAACAAGCAGGGCAAAGAACTGTGAATTGTTGTTACTGTTACCTACTTTTCACTCATTTAATTTTAAGTTAAGTCCTTATATAAACATGTCCCTCCATTTAATCGATTTACTTAGAAAGAGAACAAAACAAAAACCAGGTATTTTAAACCATTGGCTACTAATCAACCCTGCCACCCTCAGATATGGGGAAAGACCTCTCCTGTCAGGTCAGTATTAGCAACTCAAAAACATTTAGTGTCTGGGAAGAAAAACTTGACAAGACAGCCCCACCCCGAAGACATGGGTGCTCCTGTATGTGCAGGTGTGTAACTGGGAGACCTCCAGTGTGGAGCAAGGAAGCATGGGTGGTGGCTGCTGGGACCACCCCACCCAGTGCAGGCCACCCATACACTGACAGCTCTGCAGTTAGGTCTGTGCTACCAGGTCACCTTTGACAGCATCTTCTATTAATGTTTACAGCTTTCACACAAACTGTGGCTTGGACTCCTTGATTTTAACAGAAGTCCAGGATGCTCATTTCAATTCACCCATAGGTGACTATAATGATCCACAGCTCAACAGTTCTAAAATCTGTTCTAGTTTTTGAATTTTCCAATGATTCTATTAGGTATCCTGCTCTCGACAATGTTCAAAACGTAATGTCTACCCAAACAAGAAGAAATCAGTAATGTCTACTGAGTGCCCACTTTAGTTCTATTTCCCCACCAAGTCCCCCGTGTTTCCCAAGGCAGTGAACTAGCTCCTGAAGTTGGAGATGCCTACATGAAGTATTCTGGTTAAAGACTGAGTGAGCACAGGGCTCATGCTAAGGAAACTCAGGGGGCACCTCAACTTGGGACCCTTACTTGGGAAACATTCCCAGAACAATGCTCGCAGTTAGAGCATGAGCTCCAAAATGGAGTGTAAGGGAAAGAGTCTATAAATAAAAATCTGAAAAGTAATTTCAGAACAATTTTTTTTTTTTTTTAGGTGAAATTTCCAAATACTATTGCTCTCAGAGGGATGAACACAACTCCACACTTAACTCCAGGGACATTCTCCCCTGGGATAGTCAAGGCGAGAGAGGGTGCTCCAAGCTATTGTACAGGGTGCCCTTCACAGTCCTCTCTCTGCTTTTTAAGTAAGAGGGCAGTAGTTCAAATCTCTGACAGAGGATTCCACGGGGTCAGGGTCAGTGGGACAGAAGCTCTTGACTCTTCTAGTGGACGCGGTCCTTGACATACTAGCGGCAGACCAGGTGGAGTGGACGCTGAGCTCTGACACCAAGCCCAGGGAACCAGGGAAGGAACTTGTATGAACTTACAGCGCAAACCGTCAGCAGACTGGGAAGAGTTTTGAGGGTTACGGTAAATGTTCAAGAGGGCAATGGTCTGAAATACAAAACGCAACAACTTTATATTATGGAAAATTAAATGTAAACACTTAACCGGCTTCCTGTGGCGATCGCTTCAGTCAAGACTCGGTGCTGAAAAAAAGCAGGTTATTTTTTTGATGGAGAGATGTTTTCGTAGCCGATGGCAGTCTTGGAGCACCCTAGCACTGCAATGCAGAGATCTCATGGTATGCCAGTATTGTATTTCTGTTCACAGAGCGTAAACATTCTCCACTCCAAAGTTCCAAGCCAAATGAGAGTGCAAATAACTCAGCAGGCTACTACCAAAACATTCTTAGAAAAACTTTTAATGGACAACTGGGAAAGAAAAAGTGCCCATATGAACCGATGACACAATTACTGTATTAGAGAAATACAATAATTACATATCATGAAATCTCCATTTCCTGGAAGAAAAATCATAGTTGAAATAAACCCACACTTATTGGGCAACTTACCTTGATTCCTAAATATTCCTAAAATTATTCATTTTACAGAAAGAACTTAATAAATGCCAGGGTTCAGTCATTGTGAAGACCAACGACGGCTGATGATGTTAAAATGTCACATGGACAGATCCCTTCTTGTTAACAAATGTCAATCAAAGGAAGAGACCTGGTCAGTGACCTTCCCTAGGATGGCCTCCTGAACGCAGCCAAGTATCAAGTTCTTGCTGTAGACGCCAAGGGCTTCCACCACCTTGTCCTGTTTGCAACAGCTCTATGTCAGCAGCTCAGAAGCCAACATTATGTGTCTCAATTAAGAGTGGGCTCTTTAACACCATTGTCTTAAAAAAATTTCTCCAACTGTGGGACTTACAGTGTGAGCCGTCAGCCGTCTGTGCACTGTTTTGGGGATTACGATAGATGTTTTGAATCAAGATGGTCTGCGGGGAAAAAAAAATAAAAAGGGGAATTCTACTGGCTGCTGTGCATATATTAGACAATTGCAAAGAGACAACTTGTTTGCAAATGGCTCAACACTTGTTTGTTTCCCGCAAGTCACACAATTGTCTTCTGTGGAGTACACCCAAACCATCATATTATGAAAACAGAGTTTGAGCAGTGACTTAGGTCAAGTCAGCCAGCAACCAAGAAGAAATTATAATTGTTACTTTGAGTAGTCCCACATTCTAAAAATGTTTTAATGGAAGATAAATAACAAAACATTAGCATTTTCCTACGCTACAAGTTAGCAGACACTAAGATGTTGAAAAATTTACATTATAATCATATTCCCCATACAAAATTCTTTTAAAAAACCAAATGCATAACCCCACTGTATGCAGTCCATCCAGCTTTTGGTCTCGTAGGAAACGGGCACACCAAATGGTTTCCTAACGGTCCCGGACAACTATCAGATTTACATTTTCTTGGTGGGATCTCTGTTTACATAATACAATAGCTTAAAACATTTGCTCTTTTCCGATCCTTCTTAAGGGAATAAAATCCTGTTTAGCCCTTCTGCTTTAAACTGGATCAGGCAGACTTGAAACCTTACATTGTACCGTTCTTCTTAAAATCAAGTTGTCTGAAAAAACAAACCATGTTTAAGTTAGTAGACTAATATATTACATGAATCTTAATGTCCATATCACTGTAAGAAGCGTAAAAAAGAAACCCACACAGAATTATGCTAGATATTTACAAGCTGAACCAATAAAACACATGATTTAGAAAAATAAATATTCAGTTTCAACATATGTGCAAGGCAGTTTTGTAAGTGGTTTTACAGAATGAGCCAGTTCCATATCTACTATGTTTAAAGGACAGGGATTGTGTAAACATTCCCCAAAGGCCTGCTGCTGGGAAACCCGCTTGTAAGAACTCCCAACAGCAGGCAACACACCTGTCACATGCAGACCCTCCATCAGGGCCTGGGATCCTCCCCAAGCCATGGAGCACTGCCTGGGCCTCGAATGTTTCCCAAAGCCAAGTTAATATTTTTAACTGGAATTACCAGAGTATAACAATGATGGAAAGCTATACTGAGCCCAATTATTCAACAAGAAAATTAATAAATATTAAGTTTCACTGAGGAAACCTGGCAGTGCCTGTTTAATAAGAATTGTCATTTAAAAGGGGCAATGCAGTTCCACTAAGATTAGGGGTGATTAAGATTGCTTGAAATCAACCAACCAAATCAAAATAAGACGCTTAAGTTAACAAATACAGCTGACCCCACCAAACTTTAATGGAATCATTGCCTTGTTTTGATCCAAAGTGCTCAAATTAACTTAATTAACACACTGAGGTAATCAATGTGGGGAAGCAAGGGGCTTGGTTGGGAAGTTTGTAAGGAACAATCTCCAGAAGGTCAGTCTCCAGGGAGAGATGGCCAAAGGTGGCAACCCCTGCCTGACTTTTCCAGCTAAGTCCTGTGCTTACCAGATGTCTCTTAGTAGATTAAAGAAAACTGTAACAGGGGACAATTTCTTTCTCAACCCAACACTTGGTACATCCATAAGTAGCCCTCCAAAATAAAAAACTCAGGGGACATTTTAAAGTGCTTGGTTATTGCCAAAACTATGGCCACGGGCTTAGTGGCAAAATTCAATTATAAATTAAAGCACTAAAAAAATTAGAACAGAAAATTTAAAGAAAATTCTCCAATATTCTGAAACCTGAGACATGTTCAAAGCTATTAAGATAGATTTTTATTATACTAACCACTTGGTAATCCGGAATGATGCCATCACACCCCCCTTCTAAAAGCAAGTTAAACTGTGGGGTGTTCTATGGACTTAAATTAGAAAATACTAAAGTCTCTTTCTTATACCAATTGGCTGCTTTTCCTAAACACTTAAACTTGTGAACAGTAAGATAGTGAGCTCAAAGCGGAGCCTAGCAGTTTCCAGAGGTAGCTACAATAGTTACCCCATAGTAATAAAATAATAATAGAAGCTGCATGTTTAGACTTCATGGGCAGTCAGGAGATAAAAAATTTTCAGATTCCAAACATTCTGGTAAACATGGGCATAAGTTTGTTAGTATTAGAGGTGCATTCTCCCTTTAATATATATCAGTGATCACTTCCAGGGCACAAACTCTTGCCTTTTCTTCAGCTAACCAAAACAAAAACAAAAACAAAACCCTTAAGTTTTTAAATTAAATCAAATCACAGCAGACCTAAACCCAAGATAACACGCATCTCTTAATGAACTGAATAAAACTGGCCACAATTAACTGAACTGTGGCCCGTCTTCTCGTGTGTTTCATTCTACTGTTTCTGGTCACGATGGACTTGCTCCGGCCTGGACTAAGGGTCTAAGAAAGGGATCACACAGCCTGGGGAGCCCCAGTGCATGGCAGCCCCCCAGCCCCTCCTGTCAGGTGCTATCCAGGGAGAGCAGAGAACAGAAAGCCACTCTGCCTCTCCCGTGCCTGGAAGAGGCTCAGCCAGTGTTGGCAAGGCTGCAGGGAGGGTGGAAGGTCAAGGGCCTGCCCTAGCCAACACACACACGCTAAAACCTTTTCCCAGGTTCCTCTAGTGATTAAACAGGGGATGCTGCTCTCAGACCTTCCACTGGGGTGATTCACTGAAACAAACGAACATGCTCACTTATGAATATAAATAGAAAATAAAACTAGAGAAATAAAGGTCCCTTTTATACATTAAAATTATTAATTGGCTCTGTAAAGCACATGTTTTGATAATTTACAGGAAAACAGAAAAGAAAGAAAAATAAACAAACCTGGCTAAAGGTTGGTTTATTGTGCAACCGAGAGCATCTGTCTCCATGACGACATGCTCCAATTTTGAAATAAAATGAACAGTTGACTCTGTAATGAAAAATAAGAGCAGATTATTGTGCTGGGAAGACATCAAACAGATGGAACTACGTCATCAACATGAGACATGCTATCCAATGATTCCCCAAAAATATATACGCACATTACCTCTTATTGGTAGCAGGTACCCCACTCCCTCCCCGGCAATGTTTTAGGATTAGTTCCAATCTGCCCCTCTAAACTCCTTCAGGGAAGAACACTCAGACCAAACTCCTCCTCATTCAAATCCCTTCCACTTCCAACCTGTTTTCATGAAAATGAAATATTAGTCTAAAAGTAAATTTGATTTAAATGTATGTTCTTCAGTTTTCCACAATGAAATGGCTTCTCTTGAGGACACGGACACAGTGTAGTGAGGTGAAGGTCCAGATCCTGACTCTGCTACTAGCTGCCTGGGCTTGGGCAAATCACCCCACCTTTCAGGGTCTCATTTGAAAAATGAGGAAAATGCCAACCTGGCACTGTTCCAAGCATCAGCTGTAAAGTAGGTATGTGCCACACACAGCACTCATTAAATGCAATCATTATCTAAATGAACCAGCCAAGCTGCTGGTGTGGCTCAGGGGTTGAGCACTGACCTATGATCCAGAAGGTCACGGTTCATTCCCAGTAGGGGGAATGCAGGAGGCAGCTGACCAATGATGTTTCTCTCTCTCTCCCTTTCTGAAATCAATAAAAATATATTAAAAAAAAAATAAATAAAACAGAAAACAAAGTCCATGGTCTCTCACCCATGATACCAGACCAACAGGAAATTTCCAAAACAGGTCTGAAGTAAATAATTCTTCTGGTTTCCATACAATGAAAAGAAGCTATTGGGGAACTCAACCTGCACCTCTGTCCCTATGGCAAAGCTCTCCCTTAATACTAATCAAATATTGAATGATCCAGATCAAATTAAAACTAGCAATCCAGCCAGCATGATAGTAATGCCATGTGGCTTAACATATCTGTGATGAACTATGAAATCTTACTAGAGGAGTTCCATTCAAATTTAGACTTGCTGGGCTGCTGTGGTTCAGTGGTTGAGCATCCACCCATGAACCCAGAGATCACCAGTTCCAGTGCCAGTCAGGGCAGAGGCTTGGTTTCGGGCTCAATCCCCATTAGAGGGTGTGCAGGAGGCAGCCAATCAAGGATTTTCTCTCATCGACGTTTCTGTCTCCCCCTCTTAAATCAATAAAAGCATATTTTTTAAAAAGTGCCATATTTAAACAGCCAATCAAGAGTTAAGATTAAGCCGAAACTGGTTTGGCTCAGTGGATAGAGCGTCGGTCTGCGGACTGAAAGGTCCCGAGTTCGATTCCGGTCAAGGGCATGTACCTTGGTTGAGGGCACATCCCCAGTAGGGGGTATGCAAGAGGCAGCTGATCGATTATTCTCTCTCATGGATGTTTCTAACTCTCTAACCCTCTGTCTTCCTCTCTCTAAAAAAAAAAAAAAAAAAAAAATCAATAAAATATACTTTAAAAAAAATAAGAATTAAGATTAAAGGACCTCGCCGAAACCAGTTTGGCTCAGTGGTAGAGTGTTGGTCTGCGGACTGAAAGGTCCCAGGTTCAATTCTGGTCAAGGGCATGTATATTGGTTGTGGGCACATCCCACAATATATTAAAAAAAAAAAAAAAAAAAAAAGATTAAAGGACTTCAAGGAAATCTGATTAGCCAGTGATTTACTATTAGGTAGCAATCAAGTTGGAAAAGTGTGAACTTACCAGGGAAGGAAAATGTAATTACATTACTATACATATGTCTTACTCTAGATTTTTAAAAATATATTTTATTGATTTTGTACAGAGATGAAGGGAGAGAGATAGAGAGAGAGTCATCGATCAGCTGCCTCTTGCACACCCCCTACTGGGGATATGCCCGCAACAAAGGTACATGCCCTTGACTGGAATCAAACCTGGGACCTTTCAGTCCCCAAGCCGACACTCTATCCATTGAGCAAAACCGGTTTCGGCTTACTCTAGATTTTGCAAACTTATGTCTTACTCTAGACTTTCCAATTTGAATATATAACATTTTAGCATCAGAAAGTCACCTGAAAACAAAGAGCTTAAAGAGCTTATTTTTAAATAAGTCTCAGAATGGGCAAAATTCCCTTGCCTGAACAATTACTAATCTAAATAATCAAATTTCTTAAATTAAAGCCATGGCTTTTATAAATCAGTTCCGATAGGTGGTTATTGGAACAAACCCCTGAAGTTTTGAAGATTAACAGTTGAAGACACCAAATGATAGGGAAAAAAAAAAATTGCATGACACAGAAGTCATGGGCCACACTGATATAAGCTAAAGAAGGGTATTAATGACGTATGTTCTTAGCATGCACAGAGAAGCCTCTTTTTCCCGAAGAGGTGGCTCATTCAATCAAGATCATATTTAAAGCCAAGTCCCCACGCTGCTCTTCCTTGATTGAGCCCAAAGCATGCAGGGTGCACACCTCTCCCATCCCATGCAAGACATTTTGTCTTTTTTTTAAATATATTTATTGATTTTTTACAGAGAGGAAGGGAGAGAGAGAGAGAGAGAGAGAGAGAGAGAGAGAGAGAGAGAGAGAGAGCTAGAAACGTCGATGAAAGAGAAACATCGACCAGCTGCCTCTTGCACACCCCCTACCGGGGATGTGCCCGAAACCAAGGTACATGCCCTTGACCGGAATCGAACTCGGGACCTTTCAGTCCGCTGACTGACGCTCTACCACTGAGCCAAACCGGTTTCGGCCCATATAAGACATTTTGATGCATTTAATCTGAATGACATGCACCCCCCCCCCCTCCTTGAGAACAAGATTTAAACTTTATCCATCTTTGAGTCTCCAGAGACTGCCTTTGGGTCGACACCCAAGTGACTAGGACTGTCATTTTGTCTGGCAAATTTTGATAGGAAAAAATACAACCAACCCCTCTTACAAACACAGGAAATTCTACCATGTGTAAAAAACATTTTACAAGATGTATCCTGGAAAACCGAAACAATTCTAATAGTGTTTGAAAAAAGTGGTATTAAAACGTATGTGACAGCCCTGACTGGTGTGGTTCAGTGGATGGAGCTTCGGCCTGTGGACTGAAGGGTCCCAGGTTCAATTCCGGTCAGGGGCATGTACGTCGGTTGCGGGCACATCCCCAGTGGGGAATGTGCAAGAGGCAGCTGATTGATGTTTCTCTCTCATCAATGTTTCTAACTCTCTATCCCTCTTCCTTCCTCTGTAAGAAAATCAATAAAATATATATATATATTTTTAAAAATATATGACAAATAGGGTTGACCCTTGAAAACATACATTCACATAAGCCTATTTAACCGTGGGGGGAAAAAATCCCAAATATCTACTCATTCGAAGAGTACATTAATCCAGACATTAGTCTTTAGTTTTCAAAGCATTATCCCCTACATGTCTGAAGACATTTACGCTAATCTAAATTTCAATACGTGCAAACGTGGCAAAGTCAGAATTAAAATGTTTCACTTTTAACCTAGCAATTGATTAGGGAAGCATGCAACCTTAAAAAAAAAGGGGGGGGGGGAAGACCCAGCTTTTCCCTTACATTGGAATTGCGTCTTTAAGTCTGTAAAGACCTCAACAATTAAGACCTCCGTTATGTGAGGATAAACACGGGCGAGACGTGCTCCAGAGACTAAAGTTGGGGGATTGTCTGACGGTGACTCCAGCACAACTCAAGGCGGCTTCCGAGAGCCACGGGGGTCCGGGTGGCCCCCAGGCCGGAGCCCGGGCGGGCCGCGGAGGAGCGCCGCGCGCGCGGGAAAGGTCGCGCCGCCCGGGCGGAAGCCCGCTGCCCGCCGGGGGCCCCTCGCCCGCCCGCCCGCCCGTTCGAGCGCCCACGAGGCGGCGGCGGCGCGCGGCTCCCGAGGCCGGAAGGACCGCCGCGCCCCTCCCCCGCACCCCGGCCCGGGCCTTCCGCCGCCGCCCGGAGCCCGCCGCCGTGCCCGCCCGCCCCCCTGGCCCGGAGCCCCGGAAGGCGGCTCTCACTCACTTGTCCTTCTCGGTGCCGAAGATGGAGGCCAAATACTCCGCCATTTCCCACCCGCAGCCGCCGACAACGCTGCCGACGCCGCCGCCGCCACTGCCCCGACGCCCGCGGGAGACGTCACCCTGACGCGACGACGCTAGCCCCGCCCCGCCCGTAAGTCGGCGCTGCCCAATCGGGCGAGACGCTGCCTGCGTGTGGGCGGGGCTTGGAGTTCGCGGGAGGGGCGCCCCCCTGGCGGCGGGTTGCGGTCCCGCGCCCACCCCGACCCCAGCCCAGCAAAGCCCAGCGCGCAAGGCGAGGCCCCAGGGGAAGGCGCTGGGCGAGGCTTCTCCCCGCAGTGGCGTGGGGCTGGGTCCGCGGAGCTCACCTCCCTCCCGCACCTCCCTGGGGGCCCGCACTGCCTTTGGGACCTTTCCTCAGGGAAGACCCCTCCTCCACTGCCCTCGTAGGCGGGGAATGGAGTAGGGGAGCCCCTGGCCGCCCCCCGTCTCGGGAGGAGCGCCGCGTGGGGCCTCGGGCCTTGTCCGGGCTCCCGCTCCTAAGCTGGGCCCACCTGGGCGATCGGGATAATCTCGTTTTAGGGTGGTCTGGACAGTCTCTCCCTGGAGTGCTAAGCTTAGTGTGTTTGTTTGTTTTTTAATAATTAAAACTTCTTTAAATGTTTTATTGATTTTTTTTTTTTATAGAGAGGAAGAAAGAGGGATAGAGAGTCAGACACATCAATGAGAGAGAAACATGGACCAGCTGCCTCCTGCACATTCCCCACTGGAGATGTGCCCGTAACCAATATACATGCCCTTGACCGTTATCAAACCTGGACCTTTCAGTCCGCAGGCCGATGTTCTATCCACTGAGCCAAGCCGGTTTCAGCTAAGCTTAGTGTTTGATTGACGCTGGCGAGGGAGGAGATCCTTCGGGGGGACATCGTTCGAGTCTGGCTTGGGTTTGAGAGGAAGGAGACCCCAGAGGAGGGGGCGGTTAGAGGAGGAGCTCTGGGGGTGAGAAACGAGGGGGCCTGATTGGGGGCCGGATGGCAGGTGTAGTGCTCAGGGTCCTGGGGACCAGGCTGCAGAAAGGATCACCCCTACTGATTGCAAACCGGCGACCCTCCCAAATTCATGCCGAAGCCCTGACTCCCAGCACCTCCGCCTGTGACTGTCGTTGGCGTTGGCATTGAGGTCTTCACAGGGGCCATTTGGTTGGAATGGGGCTGATAGAGCCGGCCCTAGCCAATGGGGCGTGTCCTTTTGAGAAGAGGAGGTTAGGGCTGTGAGAGGACAGGGCCCTAACCTACCGAGACCTCCAAAGATGCACCCTGCGACACCCTGATCTCCCGCTCCCAGGCTCCAGCACTGGGAGGGGATACATTTCTGTTTAAAAGGGATTTTAAAATCGTAGGGGCTAAAAAAAAATTAACACTTTTCCTCCCACCTTTTAACTTCTTAGATTGGGCTAATAATCAGATCAACAGAGACAGATTGGCAGGAGAAAGTCAAAGTTTAATGTACATTCCCATGGGGAATTCTCAAAGGCATGATAATTCCATGAAAATTCCAAAGACAGGGAGGCGACCTTGGGTATATAAGACATTATTTGGACAACGGAGAAAGGGGGTGGGGTGGGTGGAGAAGGGGGGATTAGATTTCGGAAATTCGAGTAGCGGATTAATAGGGAGTTGAAGAGCAGAACACACATGGCATGCAAATCCTTGCTAGGCAACTCAGAAACCATGGGACGCGGGATAGCCAGCTCACAGGCACCTGCCGGATGCCCTCTTATTTGCCATCTTTAATTCAAGGTAGGCCAAGCAACAGCCTAACAACTCTTTCCTGAAGCAGGTTTCTCTGAAGTTCTTGGGCAGGAAAGGGGGGAGAGTGAAGCTTGTTTCTATAAACTGCTTACTGGAGAGTATTATGCAGAGCAAATAAGCCAGTCAGAGAAAGGCAAGTATCACGTGATCTTACTCCTATGTGGAATCTAATGAACCAAATAAACTGATGACCAAAATAGACCCAGACACATAGCATGTGCAGACTGTTGAATCTCAGAGGGAGGGCAGGCGAGGGTGGATGGGAGGAGATCAACCCATGAACTTGTATGCATATATGCATAACCCAGGATAGGCAATGGTGTGGGGAGGGTCCGGGTTGGGGAGAGGGGAGGACAGGAGGGAGCTGGAAGAGGTTAATAGGGGGGAAAGGAGGACCTATGTAATACTTTCAACGGTAAACAACTTAAATCAATATCCCCAAAAGGCAACTTCAGGTGGCAAAACTTTGGTTCCTTCACAAGCAAATTGCTGAGATGGCTGCTGCACAGGGCTGGGGAGAAGCCTGCTGGCCCTGCTGCTGCACTCTGACCCCTTCTCCCCCCCCCCCCCCTCAGTGACACTAGGAACTCCGTGTGGCTGCCCACCTCTGCTGCCTGAGTGGGGTCTAGCTGCCTCTGAGTGTTGCTGGCAGGGCGGCAAGTGCATTGGCAAGGTCCGGGCCTGTGCTTCTAGACTGCTCCTTGAGTGGCCAAGGCGAGAGTCAGCTCCTACCAAGGCAGGAAATGGCTGAGGAGCAACTGGTCTGGGGCCGTCTGGCCCCTGCGTTAGACTGTGTTATTTTTTCACAGCCTTTCCTTCCTGGGCATGTGATGACCCACCTACTGCTTGGGACTTGGCCCTGCACCTTGCTTGGACCTGTGGAATAGGAGGTAACGCTATGTAAGCAAGTTCTGGGAAGAGCAGGCTCCAAGTGTCAGCTCCCTGAACTGTCCGGCAGACAAGGAGGCTGGGAAGATGCTGGGGCTGGCCAACAGACCCTGAGCGACGGATGAAATGATTACTCATTTGCTGTGAGAGAGAGGCTAAGGGACCGCCTGGCTATAGCAACTAGGCAGCCACGATGGCCTGCCTGGTTAGGCTTTTATTGTAGCAGCAGTTTGAAATAAAATTTATCTTTCAGATACAATCATCAGGGTGAGTAATCTTGGGAGGACAGATGGGTTTACATTGTCCTCTAGGCAAGGGCATCCGGGGATTAAGCCTAAGGATTCCAGGAAACACGGGGAGTCTGCACATGCACAGGCTTGTATGGAAAGGTCAACTAATAATTAGGGGCACCCCCTTTGGCACTCCCCTGAGTAGGAATTCAGATAAACAAGTGGTCTTCCACATGCTTCCCTTTTCTCAGAATGTCCTCCTTACAAACTTTCCAACCAAGTCTCATGTGCTCCCTGACAGGAAGATATTTAGGGTCCTCCCTGTAGCTCTTCTGACTAATACAGCATGGGTGTGAATGGCCTATCAGAATTCCAATACAAGTGACAAGCCACCATTCGTATATAAGAGTGTCCACTATAATGTTCTGTGGTGACAGAGATGCTCTATATCTGGGCTCTCCAGTGATGTGATGGCCACTGATGACATATGGCTCTCGAGCACTTGAAATGTGGCTAGTATGACGAAGGCACTGAATTTTATTTTATTTTATTATTTTTTTTCAATTTGCATATTAGCTTTTTATTATATAGGAATATCCAATATATAGTATAGTTAATATACCACATTACCCTCTTATTTAAAATTTACTATGTTTTTAAAGAGACAAGAAAAATAAGCAAAATGTTGCTTTGTAACTAATTACTTTGGTTCTGAATAATCGAAGTTTAATCAATTGTTTTTAAATCCAAAATGTTGGAAATTATACTTTGGTTTGAAATTTAAGAGTAGCACAGTCACTGAAACAACAGTTTTCAGAGGGAATTTCCCAATTTTCCATTGCGACTCATTGCTGGAAAGGCGGTTTCTTTCACTGGAGAAGCTAAGGAAACAGGAGGAAGACTTGAGGGCATCCTGGAGGTCATCCAGAGGAGGTTATCCGAGCTGAGCCCTAGGAAAGGGGGCGCCCCACTTCCTCCTGTCCTGGGAAGGCCATTCTACCCACTGCTCCCACAGAGGGAGCCACTTTCCAAGCTGCAGCCATGAGAGAACGAGGTATTCCTGGGATCACCTGGCAGTATATGTGAGGCAATCCTGCTGAGGCCTCTTATATAACCAAAGAAACCCCAAGCACTATATTGAGAATATATGCACCCCTAGATTTATTAAAAAAAAATTTTTTTATTTTACAATAGCTTTTTTATTTTTATTATTATTATTATTATTTTTTAGTTATCTCAAAATTTTTTATTTTTTTATTTTTTTATTTTTTTGAAGGAATATTTAATATTAACATTGTGAGTTATTATCTTTTGCATATCAAAGTTACACATTTCAAACAAATCGTCATTTATATTTACAGTACGCAAATGCAAAGCTCTAATTTCCCACTAAATCATCACTTTCTTAAAATGGTACATGTGATGTTATGAAATTAGCTATTAAGTATTCAAAATAGTGGAAAAGAGGTCCTTTCTTCAGTCTTTTTTTTTTTTAAATATATATATTTTTTTATTTTTTTTGCCCCCCCTTCCTCCCACCCACACATCCCCTCCCTCCCCAGAGTTTTATGTCCATTGGTTGTACTTATGAAGGCACTGAATTTTAAATGTCCTTTACTTTTAATTAATTTAGATTTAAATCTAAATAGCCATATACGGCTACCAGATTGGGGAGGCCCAGTGGAGTGGCATAGTATTTGGGATTCGTGAATAAGTGCAGAGTTAACATATATAAATATGTATGGAACACTGGCGCATGTATACAAGATTTCAGTGTATGTCTGTTTTCCTGGGGGCAAATATAGTCTATAATTTTTCAGATTCCCAAAGGGATCTTAGCCTCCAAAGTTAAGAGGATTCCTTGGACCCGCCAGGGTCCTGGATGTAGCCTGTGCTGTTTTTGTTTTGGGAGGCAGTCAATATTATGCTCAGAAACCAAATCTGTCTTTGTCAGCAATTTATTTAGCTCAGGTTCACGGTGGGAATTTCAGAAGCCAATAGCACGCAGGATGGTGTCTATTAATAAGCAAGACATACTCCAAACGACTGACAGTTTAATGGCACGTTTTGTTCCAGGTGAGGGGAGATGAAGGAATAAAGTCCCAATTTAATATGAAAC